TCGAAAGTGGCCTGTTCCATATCAAGAAAGAGGGAGAAAGAAAGAACGAACCAGGGAAACCAGGAGCAGATCGTGAAATGACTGATTCAGATCTTTGCTATCCTTCTTTCAGATAGTCTTAAGAGCTAAATTTGTAGCCTACATTCAACAAATGCCTTCATGTCAAGGAATGTCCTCTGACACGGGAGAGAAACCGTATATACAGGTAGTCCCCGACTTACAACAGTTCATTTAGTGACCGTTCAAAGTTACAAAGGCACTGAAGAAAATGCCTTCTGACCGTATTTCACATTTACGACCATCGCAAGCATCGCCATGGTCAGGTGATCAAAGTTCAGACACTTGGCAACTGGCTCATATTTAGAACACTCGCAGTATTCCAGGGTCATGTGACCACTTTTTGCGAACTTCTGACAAGCAAAGACAACGGGGAAGCCAAATGCACTTAACAATTATGTTACTAGCTTAACAAATGCAGGGATTCACTTAACAACTGTGGCAAGTCATAAAATGGGGCAAAAGCAGGGGTGGGATTCAACCGGTGTTACTACCGGCTCGGTGATTACGTTTTGCACACACGCTGCACGTGCGTGTAATAAACCTTAAGCTGTGCTGCCCGGACAGCTGATAAGCGCTGCGTGTAGGTGCTCAGCATTTGAAAAGCCACTTTTTTACTGCTTTTTCAACCTCAGCTGTGCTGCGCAAAGCAGCTGAGATTGAAAAAGGCAGGAAATAAAGGACAGGTAAGAGCCCGGGCAGGCGGGTGGGCCAAACAAGCAGACACAGAATCGGTTCGGTGTCTGCTGCTCTTCAGAGCTACCGGTTCTATAGAGCCGGGCAGAACCGGTAGCATCCCACCCCGTCTCACTTAACTGTCTCGCTCAGCAACATAAATTAGGGGCTCGGTTGTGGTCTTAAGTCAATAATACCTGTACTCAATAATACCTGTACTCTAAAGTGCCAAAATATACCTCCAAAACAGTTCTACAGAGGAATGATTGAGTCTGTCATCTTTAACTGTCATCTGTCTCTATAACTGTCTGGTTTGGTTCTGCAACCCAACAAGACAGACACAGACTTCAGAGAGTAATTGGGACTGCAGAAAAAACAATTACAACCAACTTGCCTTCCATCAAGGAACTGTATACTGCATGAGTCAAAAAGAGGGCTGTGAAAGTATCTACAGACCCCTCACATCCCAGACATTAACTGTTTCAACTCCTACCTTCAAAATGACGCTATAGAGCAGTGGTCGCCAAGCAGTGGACCGCGAGAAAATTTTGGTGGTCCGCAGAGAAATGTCACCCCCAGAGCATCCCACAAAGCAATTAATCCAGGCTGCGCGGGAACACAAGCCTGCGCCGCCCATATGGCCCGCGGGAACCCTCCCCACCCACTCACTTCTTACCCGGCAGACTTGCCTGCTAAATTGCTATTTTTCCTTTTTGTTCCCCAACCATCAGCTGTTCTCAGGAGATTTAGATTAGCTAGAAAGCAGGAAATAGTTGCATTTCTTGCTTTCTTGCTAGTCTTTAGATCTTTGGCTCTGCTTTTAAGCAGAGCCGAACCTTCCTTAGGACTGAAGCTTCTATTATTCAGTGAAGACTCACTGCAAGCAAATTTTATGTGACAGACTCAGGTAGCCGATGGCAGATAGATAGATCTTGAAATGATTCTGTGAGCAACTCAATCTGTCTGCCTGCATTGCCTGATTTTGGGTAAAAGTTGCTCTTTTTTATAAAAAATTCAATATTTACATAAATATTTATAATATTTACATACAAGCCATGTCCAGCCAGTCACATGACCACCAAGCCACACCCACAAATTAGGCCACACCTCAGGTTGTTAAGAAATTTGAATCCCACCCCTGCCTCTGTGTGTTTCGACTTGTCCTCACACTACCATTGTAGCATCCTTATGGTCACATGATCAAAATGCTTGACAACTGGCATGTAATTACAATGGTTACAGCATCCTGATGGCCCTTTACAACTTCCCAGCTGGCTTCCAATAAGCGAAGTCAATGGAGGAAGCTGGATTTGCTTAATGACTGCATGATTCACTTAGTGACTACAGTGATTCACTTAAGAACCGTGGCAAAAAAGATCATAAAACTGGGAGAGACTTAATAACTGCCTTGCTCAGTAACAGAAATTCTGGTTCCAGTTGTGATTGTAAATCAAGGACTACTTGTACATCCTGTATAGAATTGTGCACATTTGCATCTGTGGATAAGCAGGTGCTGCAATTTTCATTTTTCATGGTATTTTGGTTCAAAATTCAAGGATCTGCTTATCCAAGGGTGAGTTTATCTGCAAGTCTATACAGATTATAATTTGCAGAGAAGAGACCAGGCAGAAAATAAATCTTAATCTCATACCAATCTCTGAGTCGAGGATATCTGTAATATACAGGTAGTCCTTGATTTACGATCACAATTGAGCCCAAACTTTCTGTTGCTAAGTGAGACATTTGTTAGGTGAGTTTTGCCCCATTTTACGACCTTGCTTGCCACAGTTGTTAAGTGAATCTGCAGCTGTTAAGTTAGTAACATGGTTGTTAAGTGAATCTGACTTGCCCATTGACTTTGCTTGTCAGAAGATCAGAAAAGGTGATCACATGACCCCGGGACACTGCAACTGTCATAAGTATGAGTCAATTGCCAAGCATCTGAATTTTGATTATGTGACCATGGGGAGAGTGCAACGGTCATGTGAAAAATTGTCTTTTTTTCCATTCCTGTTGTAACTTTGAACAGTCATTAAGTGAACTTCTGTAAGTAGAGGATTACCTGTGTAAGCAAAGACAGCTTAACAATCATAGAAGGGTGTTGTAGACTCAGCCCACAGATCACAGGAAAGGCAATAGACGACTAAAATGCCTACAAATTCTTTCCTTGATATTGCCTGGCTCCCCGCTCCACCTGACTTCATTTTTATTTTACATTCATTTCATCCTGACGTCTGCAGAGTGAATGTAGACCAACAGTATACGGAAGCTCACACCACATATATATTTCTTTTGGCAAGAACAGAAAACAAAACCCCACACTTGAAATCGAGATTCTGGATTAATGTATACAAATCAATGTAGCCCTTCAGCTTCCTTTATTGCCTAATAAACCCTGGTTTGCCCAAACAAACAGTATAAAGCAATCATTTCCTCTGTGAAGAGAGGAGCATTAATAATTTCTGCCAAGTTTTTGAAACCTGAAATTATTGCTTCAAATGACATACACATGAGGCATATTTCTCTACTCTTTAATCTTCTTTACCTTTTATTTTCCACATGATCAAAGTATATATTAAAAAGGTAGGTTAAAAATATAATACATATATTATAAAAACACACTTATTATAATCAAGTTAGTCTTTGCCTGATTTATTCTGCTACTCCATGAGCCAAAAGTTTATCCCACGTCTGTGAAACTGGATAGAAATTTTCTGAGGTCTACAGATCACTCAGCCCAGTACTGCTCCGTTTTTAAATAGTAATTTGATTAAACAATACAATTAAAAAGATTAAATAATACAAACTAAAAAAAAGAAAATAACAACATGAAAAAAAAGTCTCCATTGTCAAAGGAACAACTGTTTTCCTCCCTAAAGGAAGAACAATTGCTGCTACAGCCATTTGCCTTACCCTAATCAGCATGAAGGCGGCTGCTTAAACAAGCAGTCATGCAGTCTCATTTCTGCCTTTTTGATTGCCTAGGCATGGCCCTCTGAACTGTGCAGTCCAGTTTCCAATTTCATAGATCAAAACGTGGGCTAGGGGGCAATTTAGAATATCCTGTACAGCAAAGTAAATAACAATAGCACTTAGACTTATGAACTGCTCCGTAGTGCTTGACAGCACTTTCTGAGCGGTTTACAGTATCAGCATCTTGCCCCCAACAATCTGGGTCCTCATTTTACCACCTCAGAAGGATGGAAGGCTGAGTCAACCTTGAGCCAGTTAGGATCGAACTCCTGGCTGTAGGCAGAGTTAGCCTGCAATATTGCATTCTAACCAAAAAGCAAACAATAATTTTTGCTCTGGATTTTTCTCTCTCCTGCCTGGAAAAAAATGCTGTGATGAGCTTGATGCTGAAAGAGATGGTGGAGTCACACCTGGAAAGAGCCTATTTTCCATAAACATGCCAAAATATCTGGCATCTCAACTCATCTAGCATCAGGCCCTTTCCAACTTTGCTTCTCCAGATCCTTTTCATAGCCTGTGGGACTGAACCTGAAATCTTGCACATAAACCTCTGAAAACCACCCGCACAAGTCTGTGGGAATGTTTCTGAGTCCATCACTCTACCATATAGGCAAGTCTTACTACATGGCTGACTTGCTTATAGTGAATCTAAGGTCTCCCTGGCAGAAGACACAGGAAATTTGCTCATGGAAGAATCTATCTATCATAACACAGTACCCAGAAAGCAAGGGAGGCCTTGCCCAAAATACCCAAATGTATATACAAATAATATTTGTATATCCTAACTTACAGATACAGCTATTTGTTATCTATATATTCTACCCACTATTTTAATGCTCATAGTTATCACATGCTGTTTTATCTTACTATTTTATTGCAAAACATTTCGAGATCTTTTTTAAATGGGAGGCAGCAGAGAAATATTTTAAGAAAATAATTTTCAACAGCATACAAATAGTGTATCCTTAGTGAATGTAAGACAGCATATCTCATCAATTAACAAGTAATTATTTGGGGGAAGGAAAAAAAAGAGTTAATTTTTATACTCTCAAAGTACACTCTTTCTCTATACATGCTAGATCATTATTCATACTATTTTTAATACAACCATGTTTTTAATGTCTTCAAGGATGAAGGGTTTTGCCTTTCTTTCCCCTTGTGACAACAGTGAATTTCCAAAGGAAAATGGAAATGACAGTCAAAAAATTCTAAACAACTTTTCCCATTCAAAAAAGTTAAGCCTCCAGAACTTCCTAAAATATCGTTCATTCAAGAAATACTAAAAAGGAACTTACAAGGACACGGTCCCCAAGTCTGAAGTCTTTATCCCCTTTTTTCACCGATCCGCTGTCTGAGAGGTTGGAACCAGATTCATTTCCAGTCTTCATGGTGTTGTTGAGAACACTCTCCCGCAGAGGAATGACGCGAGTGGAAAGAGGTGGGGTGGAAGTCCCGGAGTGCAAGGACAAGTTCTGAGCTGTCAGAGACTCCACAGAATGAGCATCGCTTCCTGAGCCCTCTGTTGTGAGTTGGCGGGTCAACTTGGAAGGCCTTGTGAAGATCCCCTGGAGTGGCTGGCATTCAAAATAACGCACTCCGCCTACAGAACCATCATTCTTCCCAACCGGGTCATCTAGAACAACTCCTGCCCACTGACCAGGGGCAAACTGGGTCTCTCCCAAATACTGGATTATGCCTGGCTTCACTCCATTCACCCAAACACGTTCACCCATCACGAAGTCCCCCAGGAAATCATCGCCCACCTCAGCAATTTTTGACCCTGGCAGCTTCTCGGAGGCACCTGTGGAAGACGTGGAGCCCTGTTTGTGGAGAGGTGATCCTGTAAGAAAAAGGAAAGAATGAAGAGAGATCTGTCAGAACAAAGAAAGTCTTCACAAGAGACAAGACCCTGAACTTTGAACAGTTATGTTCAAATACAAGCAGCAGAAGAGAAACAAGTAATTATTCCCAAGGATTAAAGGTTAAATGAAAAAAAAAAGATCTTTGCTTGTATGCACTAATCCCTACTGGATTTCATGACCAAATGCTGGAAGAGTTTGTTGGGGATCCCATGCAGAAGAATGAGCAAGAAGGACCCTTTGCTGAAGTGGCAAACACATTATCGTAAATTCAGTTAGTTAAATTACTTTACTTCAATGGACCTACTGGAGAATTTAAGCCCAGCTTGGAGCATCTGGTTGGCCACCTGAGAAAAAGAATGCTAGACTAGATAAGTCTATACTAACAGATACTACTGGAAATTAGCTTAGCAACATCTGAATAGACCCACCCAGTTCTATCATCTACTAAGAGAAGCTCCTTTAGATGATCTGGAGGTTTAGAATAAGCATCTTAGCACCCAGATACTGATCTGCGTGTTTGATCTCCGTGAAAATTCACAGAATGTGCACAGATGGTTCTGTTTTTAGGAGACTCTTCATCTCCCAAAGCCTTCTCAACATTGAACAAACTCGGTTTTCCGTTGCCAACTTCAACCATAGTTTTCTCCAGTTTTACAAAGGAGCTTCAAGGAGTTTGATATGTCCCTCCATTTAAATAAAATCAAAATGCCTGGAGAGCAATGTGTGTTATGCTCCAAACGGTACCAACTGTCTTTAATGAAGTTTCAGTTCATCAAGTTATCAGAGAAGTGATTTAAAAACACAGCTGCCCTTTTTAAGTTTCAGTTTGCAGCTGGCAGCATGTGGTCAGAAAACACTTCGCCATCTCAAAAGATGAAGGGTTAGGGCAGCTTGAATGACGTTTGTTCACTTTTCTCTTTCCCACTGGCTGCAGAATTTGATACTTAATCTAGTTACAGGCTTGTGCCAAGGCAGCCAGCTGTCAGGAGGAGCAGAAATGCAAGAAGGGTGCCCTGTTTCCATGGTTATCTGGTAAAAGGGTGGGGGGGAACATTCATAGAGAGAAGCACAACAAACATTAAGGTTTTTTTTTTTCCTCAAACACTTCCAGACTGGCTCGTGGAAAGCCAAGGGGTATGTGAGCCCTCTGAAGATGGAACTCTATTTCATTTATAGGCACTCATTTTGCAAGTAGTAGAGCCTTCCAGATGTCTCTGAATGCTCAATGTTGTAATCCCACCACATCTGAGGACACCAAGCTGAGGAAAACTGATGAGAGGTTGGACATCGGATCTCCTGTATCAATGGTAATCATGATCGTGATGAAGATGAAGTCATTTCTCCAGAAAGCATAAAGTAACAACTGGCTGGCATGTTATATTTTTATTTTCAAAAATAATCCTATGAATTAGGCAAAGTTGGGAGAGGGAAAAAGAGGGAAGAGAAACTGGCCCAACATCTTGTAGGGAGACTGAAGGTTGACTGGGAATCTAGCTAGAAGCAGAGAGTATAGGAGCCCTATACTTTCACAGATATAGTGGCCCTCAAATGCACATTGAGGGCCACCATATCTGCAGCCAAAATGGGGACACTGAAAAATAAGACAGGCCTATCTACCTCCTTGGGAAAACCTTGACGTTTCTGGAAGATCCAAGAAAAAGAAGAAGAAAAAATAAATTAAAGGAATAGAATTGTAACAGTTACAATGCAGAAGTAAAGCAATCAGATGAGGACGGATCAAGTTTAGTACAAAGCAGAATAATGGACAAGAAAGAGAAAATTCAATAAATACTCTGTGTGTGTGTGTTTATGTGTGTAATATGCTTAGGTAGAATAACTGGCTGATATTCTGACCAAGAGAAAGCCATAACATCTTGCTGCAGAGTGTATGAGATTTCATCTGTCATTGACTATTGTGATTAATATCTGGAAGCGCTCACAACCTGGAAGGAGTCTGATTTAGTTTTAAATTATTGGTACATGTCTTAGAGGGAAATGGCCTAACTTCAGTGACTTGAATCTATGTACTAAATAAAGAAGATCCCGCCTCATTCCACCCCAAGCGCAGATGCTACCAATGTGCATTTATGGGAAGTACATAAAACGGATGCTATGATTTAGTATTAAATGAGTTTACATGTTAAAAGAAGAGCATAGGGAATTGCAAAACGTCCATTAAAGGGCTACTTTGCAATAGAACCAGTATCTCTCTTTTTTTCTGGTAGATTATTTTCTTTAAATTAAATACCCCAAAGCCGAGTGGAAATACACATGTGCAGGCACGTGCACTAAAGTAAGAAGCTAAGGAAAAGTCCGGCCAGCAGGTACCTTATCAGCCCTTGCCTCACAGCAGGCAGCTTTGTGACAAGGATAACCAGAGAGTTTTTAAGTAGAAGTACATTAATGGGCTAGAGGAAAAACAGCAAATACAAAGGAGAGGTGGAGGTAAAGGAGGAGATAGTCTATCAACTGAAAGCTCCCGCAGTAACCCTGAAGAATAAAATGCATGCTTTGAAATCTCCCTGCCCGTCCATTAAATCCTCTCTGTGGGACCAGACTCCCAACTTAAAGCTGCGTTGTTTATATGGGGGGGGCTTGGGTATGGAGCAAAACTCTTCCAACGCAGGTAACTACCAACCACAACATGAATTGTACTTTATTTTGTGGTGGGTGGAGAAAGGTCAATTTTGAGTGAGTGTTGTTTTCTCCGTCATGGTACCAGCGTGCTCTCCAACATGGTTACAAACTGCAGAGTGCCCCCCACCAATATACTTATAGTGTCAGCGTTCCAACTAACAAACTCCAAACCAATAAACTCCAAAACAAACATTTTCTCAAAGTTCCATTTTATTAGAGTTGTCATACTGGCACATCTGGGAAAACCCGAATCTGAGAGTTCCGGGTTTTCCCTTCCCCCCCAAAATTCAAAGATCCATCCCCTGCACCCACCAGTCCATTACATGGCCCAATCAAACGTCGTCCCAACTGGAGACATTCCTCCAGACACTCCTTTCCAGGTGCAGGGTAACATGTCCTTGACTTTCTGAGAAAGAATGTTGTTGAGTCTAATCTTCCACCTCTCTATGAAATCCCCCCCTCCCAATTTCCCAGGTAGTAAATGTGGAAGCCTCGAAGCTTCCAAGTAAAATATGGCTTCCAAGGCTGACATATAGTAAGTAGTGTGTGTGTGTGTGTGTGCGTGCGCGCATGCATATACACACACATTATCAGGACAGAACCACCAGTATCTATATCAGGGGTGTCCAACCTTAAGAAAACAAACAATAGATCATTGAACAAATCGATCCGGAGTTCTTACTTGAGGTACAAATAACCAAAGTCAAATTAACATATTTTGGATATATTATGAGAAAAACTAGCTCTCTTGAGAAGGGTAGAAGAAAAGAAAGAAAAAGATGTTGAGCAGTAAGGTTGATGGACCCAACTGAAGTGGAAATGGGAGATCTGAAGCAACAAGCTAGGGAAAATCATCCTGAAAACATTTCTCTATGAGGTTACTAAGACCACCAAGTTGATGGCATATGGTTACTAATTCAACAAGCCCTCAAGTGCTTTATGTCAGTCTGTGGTTTCTACAGTCAGTCACTCCTGGAATTTTGATCATGTGACCATGTGGATGCTGCAATGGTTGTGAGAGAAATGGTCGTAAGTCACTTTTTTCAGTGCTGCTGTAACTTTGAACAGTCATTAACTGTTGTAAGTTGAGGACTACCTGTACTCTTTGCTACACATGGAGTCGAGAGTCCTTATTTCCTAAGAGACCAAGCTGGGGCAGGACTGACAGCTAAACTTGATTCAACATTATTTATGTTGTTTCTTAATTAAAATTAATATTAGCAAATAATTTTCTATTCATACTTAAACATTTCACGAAATTAAAAGAAATTACAGGTTGGAAACAAAGTCTGGCCATCCCCATAACCCAAAAGTCTCCCAGAGTCTGAGAATGTACATGTTATATAAATCCAACTCATTAATGTTCAGTCATCTAACCAAAGCTTAGTCAACTCACCTGGTTAAATGCACTATGTTGCCATTCATTACAGTATATGGCTCTGTCTCTGAATCTGTGACGGATCTCCTTATTGCTAAAATAGTTGTTTTACAATAATGAACATGGACAGATGTCCAGACCAAAATCTACATGAATCCACAATTCAGACAATGACTCAGATTGATGCCAAATAAATATTGCAGGAATCATCCAGAAGATTCTAATGAGGTCATCCAGGTTAATGCCAGAATTCTCTGCTTAGTGAAACATGCTTTGCTTTCAAGCAGCTGGCCAGGGGGCCTAACTCAGCTCTGAAGCCCCACAGATGGGTTGGGAAGATTTTTTTTCCAGGCCTTTTTCCCCCTGCAGCCACCCAGCCAGATGCAGCCCATTTTTATATTCAATTGTTCTTTTGCCATCTTCTCTTACATAAAACATGTTCCTATTCTGTTCAGTTTTTAGACAGTTATCCTGCTAATGGATAAGCAGAGAGACCTGAAACCTTTACAAAACTTCTCTCCAATATTCAGTTGGGCTGGAAAGAATAAAAAGAGCTACAAAAATACCCAGCACATTGGCTGATGATTCGGGGACTCAAAACAAAGTAGACAGGAACCGACAGCTGGCAGGCACCCATTTAGACCAAGGCAAAGTAGCCAATAAAAAAACAGTATTTAAAAAACACACTAGATACTGTAAAGAGGCACTGTACATTATACTCAATAAAGGAATGAATTGTTCACGAATCAGTTCACACTCTGAGAATCAACAGTTTTCATTGTACTAAATGTCTGCGGGAAGGCAAATTGGTTTCTGGGGTTGGGTAGGTGGAAAGAAAGGTCTCCTTAATTCGAAAATACTGGCATTTTTTTAAATCCACATTTAATGAGAGTGTGTGTGTGTGTGTGTGTGTGTGTGTGTGTGTGTGTGTATCTTCCTTTCTCTCCTTTCTCTCAGAAACTAAAACCTATGTGAAATATTGCTTCAGAACATGCAAATCCCTGTTTACATTGCTGCATTAAAAATATCCAATTTTGCAGGGTGACCCTAATTTCTAGAAACAATAGGAGGAGACCATATTGTCAGGGAACAGCCCTCTACTAGAAAAGATGGGCAGTTAGACTATCCTCCCAAAGATCCTGATGCACTTTATTAAAAAAAAAACCACCACAAAAATATATAAAGAATCTTCCAAAGTGACTTTGTGATAGGAATTTAATCACCAGGAGATCAGTATGTGATATAAATCTAATTATCAGGGGATTAGGATAACTCATCATCTTTAAAGTCCAAGAAAAGTTTAACAAAACTACAGTACTTCTCATAGCAGTACATTTTTTTAGATTTCTGTGAGGGGGAAAAAAGGGGGGAGTCATTCCAGAAGACAAGGCAGTGCTCATGTGCCCTTCATCGTAGTGGTTCAACTGGTTTCATCAACACAAGAATCAGCTAAATGGTGGGATATTAAGACTGCTGAGAGTCAGTTTAGTGTAGTGGCTGATGGAATCACGCTAAAAACCAGGAGATGAGTTCAACTCTTAGGTACAAAGTCAGTGGAATGACCTTTAGGCTTGTTTCTCTCTCTTAATCTTGGGAAGAAGGGAAAGACAAACTGATTCTCAAAATTTTGCCAAGAAAACTGCAGGGACTCATACAGGCAATTGCCGGTAGCCAAGACTGATTTGAAGGGACCAAAAAAATTAAGACAGTTAGAGAGAAGGAGATGATCCCACTAAGGAAGTCCCTTTCTCATAGAATATCATTCCCTGCTAGTCCATCAAACATTTCCCTGGGGGCAACTGTCTACACTGCAAACTGTACAGGCAGCTGTCACAGCCATATGCAGCCACAAACACCGCTCTCCCCTCTGCTCCTGGTAAAGCAAATTAGCTACACAAGAATATATCTCCCTCCCCTTTTTGTCATGCAGAAATCACAATTAGGTAACAACTCCTTGATCAAACAAATCAACCCAGAGTTCTCACTTGAGACACAAATGACCAGGCTCAAATTAACCTACTTCGGATACATTATGTGAAGACCCAGAATGCTGGGAAAGATGGAAGGAGGGAGAAATGGAATAGGATAACCAGCAATGAGATGTATGGATTCAGCCCCATAATGGATGAATGATGCAAACGCTGCTGGAGTTAAAAGGGATAGCAAAATTGACTGCTTTGATAAAAGAAAAAAAACACAGGTATTTTTGTGCCTACTTGGAAACCACTTCTGGACTTTGTGCTTGAGGTGGGAAAAATGAAACTTTGATTTTGGGTTTTACTGATAAGGATGTTACTGTTGTTATAGAAAGGGCTAGTTTATACGGTTATGTAAAAGTAAAAAGTTGAGGTTTGATGTTACTTTTTATTCTACTGCACCAAAGGAAGTCTTTTCTTTCTTTTTCCCTTCTTCTTTACATTTTCTCTTCCCTTTTCCCTCCCCTATTTTTCCTATTATTTGCTTTTATACTTTATATTATAAACTAATTAAAAAGAGGGGGGGGGAAGATATATGGATTCAGAAGCAACAGGTGCATTGTTGGAAGACCTGAGAACCAGATTGAGCAATGATCTTTCTGGAGAAAAACGATTTACATGCCGCTTACCTTCTTTTGTGGCACTGCTGGTTGTGGAAGCAGTTGCTGTTGTCCCACCAGGACGTCCCACTGGACTGGCATGCTTCCCGGTCCTCCCAGGAATTTTAAGTCCGCTTGGCTTCAACATCTTAGCCCAGGTTTGCACTTCAAGGTATGAGAATCCTTTGGTCCTGTGATTGGTTGCCCAGTGCCGCAGGTTCAAGCATCTAAGTGATACGCCCCTTCATCTACCTTTAGAGACCTGAAGAAATTGACCAACATCCAAACAGAAAATATATATTTATATAAGTAAACTGTTTGCAGCAAAAAAAAAACCACCTCCAAAAGGAAACCAAAACACTTTACTTATAAGCTCTTGCTTGAGACTGGATTGAATTATTTGCCCCAAAGTAAATTAAATAAAATTAAGACTATATAAAAAGTATGGGATTGTCTTATTTTGTTAACAACCAGCCATAGGCTAGCTACAGGTTCTGGATGACACCTTCCTTATTTGATCTTCAGCCATACAAAAGACAAGTCTTTCTAAGAAATATTTTATGCATTCCCATTATGCTGTTTTTTGTAAGCAGCTATTCCAAAGTACATTAATCTCCAAATGGACCTCACCTATATCTGGAACTTTGAAGCTTGGAAGAAGAACACCCTGAATAATAAAATGAGGTCCTAAAAGAGGCAAGCCTTTTTTGAAATTTACTTGCTTTATCCTTTGATCTGGTCTGGCTAGTTTTCTGTACAAACATGTCACTAACTGGGAATCCCACCAGAAGTTTTTCTCATGACAAGTCAGCCTATATTCAAGTATTTGACTCATGGTTTAATTGCTTCCTGTCTCAGCTACTGCAGTCCTTGCCTTTGTGTCATGACTAAATACTTGAGTAACTCCAGATTTTTCTTCTGACTAGGAAAGTCTTTTTTGCTACATTTCCCAAGCTTTGTAAAAAGCCATAATTTCTATTTTTTCCCCTGCCCTTTTTCCAAGAGTCCTTTGCCATCGTTAAATTTCTATATATAGAAATGTAATTTTATTAAAGATTTTCTTTTTAAAAAAGGAAGACAAAACACAAACTAATGTATTAACATATGAAAAAGAAAAAGAAATCAAAGAGAAAACCAAAAAGGGCAACAAAGGGTGTAAAAGGAAAAGAAAAATAGGAAGAAAAAAAAAAGGATACAAAGAAATGGCTTCCAATCTCTTTTACAGCATTATAAGATTAAGATAACCTTTATTATCATTTTCCTGTATACACAATTGCACACATGACCATAAAATTCCAATGCACTGCTCCTCAAAAGAAGGAATGCCACCCATCAAACAATGTCACCGTCCCAATAATATCAATATAATAACAGCAGCATCCAAAAATGCCAAGTTATGCAAATTTATACACCCCCTACACCAGAGGTGGTATTTAGCAGGTTCTGACCAGTTCTGGTAGCGGAAATTTTGAGTAGGTCGGAGAACCGGCAAATACCACCTCTAACTGGCCCTGCCCCCATCTACTCTCTGCCTCCCGAGTCCCAGCTGATCGGCTGGGTCTTCTGTGGTTGCCCTGCACAAGACAACGGAGCTGGAAAGCAGGTTAGTGGGGTGGGGAGGGAATGGGATTTTGCAGTATCCTTCCCCTGCTATGCCCACCAAGCAACACCCATAGAACCACTAGTAAAAAAAATTTTAATCCCACCACTGCACAAAACACACACACACACACACACACACAGCTATTACAGAATCCAGTTCTGCTGAAGCCTCCTCCCAGAAGGCAACATTGAAAACAGGTCGTAGAAAGGATGTGCAAAGTCCCTGAGAATACCGTGGACCCTGGTCAAGCAATGCTTATCTATGGATAGAAGGAAGTAAACTCCAATTATCAACTTACAACAGTTCGTTTAGTAACCTTCAAAGTTACAACGGCACTGAAAAAGTGACTTATGACCATTCTTCACACTTACGACCGTTGCAGCATCCGTGTGGTCATGTGATCAAAATTCAGATGCTTGGCAACTGACTCATAAGATGGTTGCTGCGTCCTGGGATCACATGATCCCCTTTTGCGACTTTTCAACAAGCAAAGTCAATAGGGAAGCCAGGTTCACTTAACAACTATGTTACTCACTTAACAACTATGTTACTAACTTAACAACTGCAGTGATTCACTTAACCATTGTAGCAAGAAAGGTCGTAAAATGGGGGCAAAACTCACTTAACAAAAGTTTCACTTAGCAACAGAAGCGAGCTTCTGGGCTCAACTGTGGTGGTACATTGAGGACTACTTGTACTAGTACATTTACATTTATTTCTTAATCTATGTTTACAACATAACTCGTTTGTCTCTATATCCTGTCTAATCATCAAAACCATTGTTTTGTTTCATAATTTTAGAATTGTCAGCTGCTCAGAGTCATTTGATTGAGTTGGGCAGCTACAGAATTTGAATTAAAGAAATAAATAAATCAGAAGTTCATTTTTCCTGTTTCACACAAAAAGTCTATGAAGAAATCCTTCATAGTCAGCAATACATGTAGATATTTATTGCTGACCAAAGAAGTCAATTTAGGCATCTCAGCAAGTCCAGCTGGCTCAGGAATTCTGGGAATTGAAGTCCACAGGTCATTAAAGGGACATCACTGCCCACCCCTGCTTTAAAACTAATGTTCTACAAACTGACCTAGGAGTCAGGAAAATAGTGTCCATAGAACCCAAGTTTAATTAAATGGTAAAAATTTGCAACGAGTTCAGAACCTTATGAGATGTAATTTATCTTGTGAGACTGAGAAATGTAAAACAAGCAGTCCTTGATTTATGGAACCTACCTATTATGGTTGTAAATTGTGATGGTTGTAAGGCAGGTTATCCATATGACTGACCCAATTTTACAAACCTTTTTTTTACAGTGGTTGTTAAGCAAACACTGCAGTCATTGAGTGGACCCATTATTTGCTGGTTTTCAGCACAAACATAATAAGATCCAGTTATGTGCCATAAATGTGAGTCGGTTGGCGAGCATTCAAAATAGGGTCATGTGACTGGGGGGGGGGGGAAATGTCTGTCAGAACTTTAGAACTGGGTCACAAGAACCTCTAAGGAGGTCCGTTGTAACTTTGAATGGTCACAAGGAACTGATTGTTAGTCAAGGACTACTTGCAGTTGTAACAGAAGAGAAGGCATTCATTACTATTGTATTTGATCATGACTTCATGACTTCCGGTATGCAATGAAAAGGTGCCACACCAACTAAGTTTGTACATTTCTTCTGCATTTGTACATCAAATACAAATCTTACATTTAACAGTACTTAGTCCAGTTTAAAATGGTGCTTGCTATCTCTCTTTCATCTACCCTTTTCTGCTCAGAGATTGGACAATCTGAATGTGTCACAGCAAGTAAGAAGTCAAACCAGCATACTGATTTAGTAACTAATACGATATTTTCTCCAATGACATGTACAGAGCATGTTTATGTCAGGAAGAAGATATGGCTAAGATCTCAACTTGCATAGCATCATCATCATTTCTTATTTTTGACTCACGGCATAATGCAAAATCGCACCCTAGAGCCTGCCATATGAAAAGGCTGCAGGCCTGTGCCATGCCTCCCAGCGATAAACGCTCCTCAGCACGAATCAGAGAGCTCTGTCCTTAAAAAATAGGCAGCTTGGGGAAGCAATTAACAAGAGGATATTTCCTGCCCCCCTCTACAAAATGTATCGCCAGTAGATCACTGCCAACAGAAATGTGGGTCTGGCATGGGAAAACAGAGCAAGAGCTAACAAAGAGCCAGTTCCCTTTGCAAAGTTCTGCCTGCTGTTGAGGGGAACGCTAAGAGAGCTTGCACACTTACCTAACATGGGAGGCTCAAATGCACTGAAGTGTTATCACTTAACATATCAAGAACCTCAAAAGTAATGCCCTCCAGGCACAGCTGTTCCTTTTCCCCAGACAGTCCTACTCTCCAGCAGACATATCCTACACGAAATCAGTTGCGCTACATGAAATCAGTTGCAGGAATCAACCAACTGCAGATCCATTTAGATGTTTGCAAAGAGCAATGGGTTTTTTTTTTTTTTTTTGGCTCTCTCCTTTTAAAAACAGGAAATGGGGATGCAAAAAAAAAAGTGATGTCAAAGTAACAGCAACAGGACTTTGGGAACTTAAGAATTTGTATAGTCATGTCAAGGGAGAAATTCTAGTTTTTCCTTCCCAACATTTAAAAAAAAATGTTTTAAGCCAGAACAATGAATGCACTGTAGGAAAGAGAGAATATAGACCATGCTGACGATTTGAAAAATGGGTTGTCTTTCTGTTACAGATTGTTTAGAACAAATTCAACATCTGCCTCTTTAATACTGACTTCTAGAAATTTTCTTTTAAACATGAATAGAAAACTCCTCCTTTGCCAATGACTCACTGCTAAATTCGGCAGGTCTAGACAGGCTTAATAAACCTTCCTAAAAATGTTAGATTTTTCTATTGTTTTCCTATTTATAAACATTGTGGTATCTTTTTTTTAAAAAAAGAACTAGATGGGAGAACAAAATTAATTCACGATTTTAAAGCCACTACCACTTGTTATAAAAAACAAATCCATCTTAAAAATTGCTTTTCTGCAGTCCTGTTGTAGGAAGCAAATAAATAAAACAAATAAACAAGTATATTTAAACAAATTACATACCCATCATAATTAAGATTTTCGGAAGAGGGTCAGGGATCTATTTAAAAAGAACAGAGAGTTTTCTAAATAACAGAAATAGCATTTATTTTATTTATTTATTTATTTATTTGTCAAGCAAGTATTAGATAACAGGTATAAGTATAAACATGGTTATGAATACATGAAATGGATAGGAATAAAAAGTAACAATAGGACAGGGACAGTAGGCACGTTGGTGCGCTTATGCAGGCCCCCTAGAGACCTCTTAGGAAAGGGGTGAGGTCAATAGTAGACAGTCTAAGGTTAAAGTTTTTGGGGTTTGGGGAAGAAACCACAGACTCAGGTAGAGTATTCCAGACATTGACCACTCTGTTGCTGAAGTCGTATTTCCTGCAATCAAGTTTGGTACGGTTTACCTTGAGTTTGCATCTATTGTGTGCTCTTGTATTGTTGTGGTTGAAGCTGAAGTATTCATTGATAGGTAGGACATTGCAGTAGATAATGTTATGTACTATACTTAGATCAGACCGAAGGCGATGTAGTTCTAGGTTGTCTAGGTCTAAAATTTCAAGTCTGCTGGCATAAGGTAT